CTTAACAAAAAGCTTTGAAATGTACATGGCGCTTCCTATTGGGGTGATTCAGTTTTGCCTCACAGTGTGGGTTGGCTGGACATGGCACTAGGGTTGTGATTGGGAAGGGGCTCAGGGTCCTGTCCTGAAGGGCTCCCCTCCTGCCTGGGCTCCTTCTCAGTGAGGCACAGGCTGGAATGCTGATCTGATGTTTGGTCTTTTGACAATTTTCACTTAATGAATTGATTCCTACAGTTCATTAACATACCCACTTCCACTTCTGTATACACATATGTCTTAATTAGCTGCTCATTGGCTGTTTAATTACAAGAAAACAGCTGACAGCTGCCTCGCTGAATTCTAATGGCAGACGCTTTGGAACGGCTACACATTTGCTTTTGACAACCAAGATTTATTCATAACGCTATGATTTATTGGGAATGCTCTCATGCCTGCCCGAATTATTGCATTTTTCCAATCCAAGTAAAAATTTGGAATTTTGGAGACTGTTAAAGTAGGTGTATGTCTCCCTGTAATTTGGTTTCTTTGGCTGAGAAGAGTGGAGAATCCTGTATGTAAAAGTGTGCACTATGTTATGATCTTATTTGTCTTGGGAACTTTCTGTTGGGGATGCTCAGAAATAAGGGGGTGAGGAAGAAATATTGTTTGCCAAACGGGAGAAAGTTAAGTATCTCGATACAGGAAAAAAAGGAGGTGACTGTCAACTTAACTTGACTGAGGGGTAAAGAGAGGACATGCATAGATTAAAATCAGGGGAGAAAGAGTCAGAAGAAATGATAAAATTACAACAAGTGAGGGCAGGAATAACTGTCCCCATGGAAGCAAGTGAAGAAGGAAAGTTATTCCTTAGAAAAGAACAAGCAACCTTACTGGCAGAAGTTAGCTGGGGTAGTCCTGCTCTCATACGTCTGGCAGCAATAAGTCACAGAGATGCGGAGCTCTTGAACTACTTCAACAATGACTGGCCTCCCTGTAGAATTGGATGTGCAAATGATCTCTGATTAAAGGTGACCTCATGTGTCATATTTGGTAAGTGTAGATGTCTGCCTTGCCACACTGTGATTTGCTGTACTCAGAGCCAATCCAAGTGAACACACTCAGCAACACTGATTCCCAAGCAAACATGTGGGACCCCACCCTGAGCCAGACACTATGTTAGAGCCCTAAATACAAAGCGGCCACGGCCCAGCATTATCTATGAGTTCAGGAAGGGCCACAGTTACTGAGATACGATTATGACCTAAACAAAGAAAAAAAATCCAAACCATTTTGATGTAAATTGGGGTTTAACACATCCTACCACTTGTGCATTTCATCACAGGACTGAAAGATTTAGCTAAGCAAAATTTATTTTTCTTACCACTTGTATATAACAGAACTGAAACTCTGATGTCACAGTATGCAGTAACAGCCAACTCCAATTTTCGTTTTAAATGGCTAGCTCTAATACTGGGGCCAGGTGTCATAAAACATTAAAATAAAAATGTTGAGCAAGAATGTGTCAATGCTGGAAAGTGGACAAAATTGGTCCAAGGCTAGTGACATTTCACAACTGAAATAAAAATATTAGAGTCCTCTAAAAAAAAACCAAAACAACAACTGGGGCCAAAAAGGAACATTTATGGACATGTGTTTTTAACCGAATACATAAAAAGCTCCAGAAATAGCCTTAGCTCTTTCAGGAAAAAAAAAATGTACCAATTATACACTCTAAATATCTTTGAAAAGGCTTCCTATTGTTAATTTCAGGTCATAAATTTGTCGTTGCAAATAAACTATTCCAAATTCTGCATCTACTGGGTGAAGGAGAAAGCTCTGCCTAAGACATCATCTTACATGTATTATGATGAATAAATATGTGATAAATGAACGCTACTCTAAGACGTATCAGAACAAAGGGCCTTAAATGTAATCAGAAATCAATTTACTAACTCCAGTACTCAATGGTCCTTTACAAAGTTATAGTTGAAATTGTAGAGCCAAAAGATCTAAAAGGGCACAAATAAAAAACTGTGTGTGTTTTTTTTTATCGTAAAATAAATTTTTTATCATCATCATCTATGTATAAACCACTGTATCTAATGATGAAGCTAGGAACTGAAATTGAATGATACACAGGACCATTTTTCAAAAGAAAACCTCAACGAATGGTCATTTTTCTATGACCACTTCAGCATTTTTATTCACTTTGAAGGCTGACCCTGAACCCTGCAGCCTCTCGCTTTCTTTCTGCCCTTTCCTCTGCCCACATGTTCCATGGCCCAGGTCTCCCTCCCTGGCAGGTCAACCCCAGCTTCCCTTATCCCCTCTCCTGGTGTTCACCCTGGGCTGGGCCTAATTCTGTTCCAAGAGTTCAGAAACGTTTTTATGGACAGAGCCAATCTTGCAGGCCTGGATTCTAGGTTCTTCTAAAACGCAATATTCAGGGCTTGAGAAGGACTAGTACATGGTTTCCTCATTATTTCAAAAGAACAAGTAAAATACTTTTAAAGTAAAAACCTTGGCATAATGGAGCCCTTAAAATTTGGGGAATGGTGTACCTGTCTATCCTTATCCTCCACTATCCACAAAAAGTAACCCTTTGCTCCAGTCCAACAGGGTTATATATTGTCCCCAAAATACAACCAAGACGGTTCTGTTTCTAGGCTCTGGCTGCCTAGTGGATATGTGCTCCTTGTGCCATAGTATACAGACTGTGGCTTTACTCTGGTATTTAGCTCTTGCATTGCTGTTTAGCTTTTCCTGTGCGGACCCCATCTCTACAACTAGGATCTAAGCTGCTGGACGGAAGGATTAGGCCATCTATGTCTTTGGATCCCTCACAGTGTTTATACAGTACCTAGTCCCAAGGGAGCGCTCATATTTTTGTTGTTTTTATTGGCAGAGTCTACAGAACAAATCACAAATGGTCACAAAAATCAAGACTGGACCCATAGATACCCTGAAATAATATACCTGATTACACAGAGCAGCATTACTCAGGCATAAGGAGCTTGGCCAGGAATGACGATAACAGCAGCCACCGTTTTCTGAGTGCTTGTTACATGCCCCACCACTCTTCTAAGCGCTTTACCTAAATGCACGTGATAACCCTATGAAGTTAACTACGGTTACTATCCACATTCTACAGATGGAGAAACAGAGGCACAGATAAGTTCCAGAGTTCAGAACGCAAGCATGACCCAATACAGTTTTCTCTGTAGCCTGAGGGACCAGGAGCGGGTGAGCTGGGAACACCTCAGAGCCAGAGGAAGAGCTATCAAAACTTCTACGATTTTCACTGTTCACGGGCAATGCTTACCTGAGCCAATATGTGATAAAATAGATAATCACGTCAGCAATGAACTAGGTTCTCTAGTGTCTTGGGGTTTTCATTTGTCACTTTTAAACGCAATTTTAAAATACATTCGCAAAATGATTAACTCAGAAAATGTCTGAGTCACTTCCTTTCCTCTCGTTAGATATTTATTTATATATCTAATTAGGAATTTTCCTCATCTAATGATACTATCACAGAGGTAAATTATTTACACTTTGTCATGATGTAACCACCTTTCACCTGGTTAGAACGTGATAAATCATTAACATCAATGGCAAAAGCAGAAGGCCCTTGACGTCACCGCAAGCAGAAGGAAAAACGTTACTTATAGCAGATAGAAACCATTATGTAGGACAAATACTACACTCAAATTTTTCTTTAAGTAGTGAGCTCTCTATTCCTGAAAGGCAGGTGATTGTTTTAGAAATTATTAAGTGTGTTCAGAGGTGTGCAGAAATCTCAAGCTTCACCAAGATGGGCTCAATATGAAGCGTGTGTACACATACAAAGGCAACTATTACAATGGTTAGCAGTAAAACAAAGACTTAAGGAAATGACGAAGCAAATTTCCCTGCAGTCTCTCAGTAGTTATTTGTGTCTGGAGGTGATTTTGTATTTCATGACACTGTATTTTCTAATTTCACTGAAGGAGAGCTAACCAAATTCATGGATTTTACTTTTTGCCTCAGCTTCAAAATGCCTGAGGGCTAAATTCAGGCCTGGTTCAGTGGCAATCAACTGTCTCAGAGGCCTTCAGCATGTTGAAATAGCTGCTCTCCTGTTTATTTTGCATTGTTTTATCCTGTAAGCTGTCTCAAAGCCCTTCCAACATAAGCAGGAGGATTTAACTCTCAATAAATTGAGATTTGAATAACAGACACAACGTGGGTATGGTGGTCTTGAATGATTAGGATAAACATGTCTATTTCCCATTGACATATGTTGTGTATGCTGTACTTACTGCCGAGATCAGCGCCAGTCATAATTAAAACAGTAACAACGGCAATAAGTATGATAACGTTTAGATTTAAATAGCACTTTTTGGTGTACAAGGCTTTTATTTACAGTTTTTCATGCCATTCTTAGAATAGCTCTAAAAGATAGGAAGGACAGGTGCTATGCTCACTTTATAGATGAGGAGAATGAGTCACTAAGAGATTAAGATGTGCCCCAAACAATATGGACAAGTGGTGGCACCAGGACCGGAACTCAATTCTTTCCAACAGCCTTGCCATAATTTGGCCAGCTGTGTCAACATCTGTGTGCCAACAATAAGACTTTGAATCACATTCCGATTAAATGTATGGGAAATGCCTTCTTGTAAAGTTTATAACAGGGACATCACAGGAATCTAGAGTCATCTCTTTTTAAAAAAGAGAACCAAAGAGATTGTTTATCAGCGCAATCAATTCTGGGATTGGAAGTGACAAACAAGGAACGCTCAAATACCTTTCTCTAGCCTCCTGTTATTTTGATGGACCATGTAAATAAATATCTATCTATCTATCTATCTATCTATCAAACTTCCTTAATTGTAATTTAACACCAAAACATTCCGTCCTGTCATTTCTCATCACTCAAAATTCCAAGGAATGAAATTTTTCAACACAGAAGTGAAAACTAAGAATAGCAGAGATACATCCGAACATTAATAGAAACAACAACAATTAAAAAGGCTTACCTTGCAGCCTTCACATGTAATGACACCATAATGGATTCCTGAGGATTTGTCTCCACAGATCTTGCATGGAATAATTTCAATTTGAGCTGCAACAGAAGCACGCAACCAGTTAATTACATTTTCTTTTAAACACCTTATAAAAGCGTTCCCTGATCAGCATTTGTACAGTGAAAACTAATAACCTGCTAAACATTATACTGCATTAACTATTCATTGCTGAACTGTGAGGGTCCCCCTAGAGCCCTGGACTAAATTATGGCTGCTCGTTATATAATAGCTTTCGGGTTATTAAAATGGGTCATTTGAGAAGGTGTTTAAGAACCCACAAGAAGGCTGGAATCAGCATTTCAAAGCCTTCAAGAACTGGAGAGTTCGCAGTTTAGGCCTCAGAGCAAGGCAGATACTAAAATGCTCCCTTCGATCTCATTTTCCATCATTGTTTTTAAAAGGTCATAAATCCGTCTTGGCTGTAGCTCGACTGGTAGAGAAAAATATACTCCAAAAAGTCAAGACTACTTAGGAAAATGATTCAATTCAAAATATTAATAAGTTACATATGACGGTAAGTTAAGAATTCCTTACTCATCCTAATTAACATAGTTGCCATGTGTTAAAAATGAGTCCATTTGTGGATGATCAAAACCTTTCAACCATAAATATCCTATCTGAATTTAATAACGATGAATTCTTGACAAATAAAATATGTAGATTCTGAGTTCTTTACATAAGAAATTGATTTACTGGTACAGTGTGCATGTGTTTCTATACAACTGATTACTTACAAATGCCTCATGCTGTAAAACTAACCAAATAGTTAATATATGTTACACCAAAGTTCTCAAATATGACAAAGCACACTTCTAAGCAAACATTGTATCTTGAGCAGAGTTGGAAATAGCATAAGGATTAAAAAACAACCTAAGGATAAAATAATTAGGCAGAAAAGAGCACTTGGATCACTTATTAAATATAGTTGATCTGTGAAATAAAGAACACCAACGCTGAGGTGTATATATACACAGGACGGCCATGCTCACCCATTTACCTGGAATGTTCCATTTATGCGAAAGTTATTTTCCATGGTTTTCGCTACTGGATATCATGTCAGATTATCTACTAAATCACACACACACACACAACTGCAAGTGCCCAAGTGTATTTCATTTTCATATAGGCACTGCCTGACCCCACGCCTTCCACAAAGCAATGAGTTGTCTAAGGATGTAAGTTATATGATGTAAGTAACACATCTACACACCGCCCACTCTCCCAATGTGATCCCATATCCTGGGATCATTCCACAACACTTTGAACTTGATGCGATGTTGTAGTCAATAATGAGAGCACACATGAAAAGGCGGGATTTAATCTCGTTATAAACCATGTATGTGTACCTGCTGACTTCCATCAAGGGCACTAGTGCAAGCACTGTGCTGACCGTTCGGTAGTGCAAGCTACTCTACAAGTGTCCTTTCCCATTCAGTCGCTTTTAGGGGTGACGTACCAAGTTTCATTGTCCAGAGTAGGGATGGTTCAATATCTCACATCCAATATATTTTTCCATAACCCTAAAGCTTTCTAATATCCCAATAATGGTGTCTTGGTACACTCTATGTCTATTTCTGAGCTATGCAACTTAATATAAGGTCACGTTTAACAAAAATGATCATCTCGAAGTCTGCTTCCTTATCTTAGCAGCTAGCTTGATTTCTTCAAGAACAATTCTTTATGAAATATGAACGTTTCATACCTAAGGTCCCTCCAATATTCTTAAATATAGTCAAGGTGAAGTTTCATGCTACAGATTATCTGCAACTCGAGAGAGACAGTTAATGCCCACCATTTTTCAGAGACGCAAAAAAAAAGCCAAGGGCTAGTAGAGAAATTGCTGAAAGGTGATATCAGCTGAGAGTTATTGCCTAGATTTTCCTATATGAATTAACCAGTCTATAATGAGAACCGGCCTTCCCCACCCCAGCCCCTAAGGAATAGAATAATTAGGCAACACAAGGTAACTGGACCATCTATTAAAGAAAATTCATACGTGAAATAAAGAAGACTGACACAGAGCTGCTTCTGCTTATGTCTCACCTCAAGCTGTAACCACAGAAATTAGACATACAAAAACCTTGTTAGACCCTATAGTTTGTCAGCATCAAAACCATCTGAGGCAATTAAAGCAACAGTAGTGCCAAACTTGGGACTTTCCAGCTACCTTCATTCCATCTTAACAATGGGGAGATCAAACACATCTATTTAGAAAAACTGAGGTGGGAGGATGTCAAGGACAAGTCAACTTTGCAAATTCTGGGCTAGAGCAGTCTTTAGCTTTCTGCTGACAATAAATCTGAGCAGAAGCGCATGGCCATCAGTTAAAGTATTCTGCATCTTTAAGGTACGAAGGCCCTGGGCAGGCCATATTGAAAATGCTGAGTAAAACTGTATCTGGATCCAATGGACAATGATATATTGCTGTTCAGCCCGCACGGACTCTTAGTGGATTACCCATCAGAAGTGAAGTGATGATCTTTAAACCTGCTAATGGCTGCTGTAATCTGGCAAGTGATATGGAGGGCTGGCCTGGAGGGGTCTGCTCACGATAGGGGTGGTCCTAGGAGTGCCGTCCGACCCAGCACTCTCACCTTTGGAACGGCTCATGGCCTGGCTGAGGGGAGGGTGGGATGGGGGTTGGAGGGTTGTTGCAGCACAAACCCAGAGTTTGCCACCACTGCTGCATAAGGCTGCTGGCCTGAGTTGGGCTCCCAAACTCTTGGGCTTCAGCCTGGTTTCAGCTCCTGGGGTCTTTCAGATCCAGAGGACATTCAAGCTGAGATGTATTTCACAAGGCTTATGGAGGCCAAGAGGCTTAGTATGAATGGACTCAGTGTAGACGACCTGTATTTTCAAGCAGGGGACCATTTGCCTAGACCTTTGGCCCCTGCCCACCCCACCATGTTCATGCTTAGTTCCAGTGGGCAATGTTGGCCAAAGAATCACAATTAGTTAGAACAAGCTTCATGAGGAAGCTTGTGGTAAGGTGATGGGAGGGATCTCGCAGCCAGGTTCAGGTTCTCTGACTGGTCAGATGAAACTATTCTGCTAGCCTACCCTCTGGGTTCCCTGTCTTATCTCAGAAGACAATTTCAGTTGCAAGGCTCTTCAGGAAATGACTAAAATCTACTTGCTCCAAAAAGCGAACTCTCTGAATGTGATCTGATCACACGTGTTGAAATTTCCTGAAACCAAACATTTGCAGATTGGAGCAGGGCACTTGCTCAGTCTTCCATTTAATCCAGCAGTGCCCCAAAGCTGTCCCCACCTCCACCTTAGTCAATTTACAAAATTCAAATGTATCAGTGAGGAAAAAAATGTAGTCACTGACTTGCAAATTTCTCAAAAGGCAGGCTGTTGAATTCCATAAATTTGAGTTTTCAGTCCAATAAGAGAGAAAAGGAAAAATGCCCTTGCCCTCTGCTTTCCATCTCTCAGGCTTTTCCATTTTCCACCAGGTGGTGTTGTGTCTTTTCCAAATAATCTTCTTTTAACACAAATTAGGAGTCTTGGCCCATAGATATACTGCACACATTAACTCAGCCAGTATTTCAAAGGATGAGTTCTGTCAGACACCACTACTGTCACAAGTATATTGATTAAATTAGTCCACATACATATTCATCGCAGCAAAGACGTTTATTGTGTAGGCGAATATCTGAAGCAAGACGCACACATATAATCATGAATTGACTTAACAATGAACAATCTTGCTATGAAAAATTCTAATTTGCCCACATTTTCAGCTCTATTGCCTAAATAATTTGCTCTCTCATGCACCCTGAGTAATTCAAGCAGGCTCTCTATACCTGCAGAGGCAAATTTCTGCAGTTTCAAGGAGCTGACAACAAGTGGCAGCGGGGTGTCAGGAAATCCTGGAATGCGAGTGTGCTAATTAGCCAAGTGGTCCTGGGGCTGGGCTGTCACTGAGCATTGTATGTACTTGCATCAAAAGTTTGCTTTTTACTTCTAATTATAAAAGGAACAAGAACATGGGCACTGGCCTTCTTAACACCTCATTTATTCCTCAGGACCTATTTTGGGAGATATCTTGGTCCAGAGAAAAATGTCCCTTCTCCCAAAGAATTAAAAACAAACAAACAATTGTACAAGAGTTGCACCCATCACTTCACTCACTCTGTGTAAATAGTGAGCTCTTGATAATGATATAATGGACTTATAACAGTCAATAAGATCTAATACGTATTTGTGTTTATGTCAGGTATTATCACATTCACTTCTCCAACAACCCTTTGAGGTAGGTGGTATTACCATCATCATCATCATCATCATTATCATTATTATCATCTGCCATTTTTTTAGATGAGAAAAGATGTTCAGAGAGGCTAAATAACTTGCCCAAAGTCAGAGAGCTAGGACGAGGTAAAGCTACGCAATTTGGACACATTTTGGCTTTTTATTTAACTAAACATTTAGGGTCCCCCCTTCTACCATTCTGCACTGCGAAGATCCACTCACCCCAATAACAAACATCAGGTGTACTGCTGTTGGTATACAACCACTTACGGAGGATCAAAGACATCTCCTAAGCAATTTGGTTATACTTACACACTACTCAGAACTGACATCATGGTGTCTTTCTGGGAGTTACCTGACTGGTTTATGACTGGAAGTAATCATCAATCTTCTAGGCCATTCTTCTCAATTTTATAAAATTCCAAGCAGTTTCTGACCAATACCAAGGTTGAACAATTCTTAAGGCTGGGCACATTACTTAATTTCTCTGAGCCTCAGTTTCATAGGTGGAGATTCAATGATACAATGTATAAATGACACAGCACATATATGATTACTTTATATATACATTCTCTCTATATAGTATATATGCACATCACACAGTTCTTAGAAATAGTTGGCACTCCATAAATAGTCATTATTATTATTGTTATTGTTGATAAGAAATCCTGCCTTATAGCGAAATGAAATTCTTTTCTGCAGTCTCTAAGCTCTTTCCAAAGTGGGGATAGAGAAAAGCGGCTTATCTTCCAAATAATGACAGGCAGTTCATACCAGC